CTATCATGTTATCTCCAGTGTCATTTCTATCACCAAGGCCATATTTTCCAACTACTGATGATTCTTCTTTATTTCCAACTTTTGCATTCCAATCACCAGTGATAATTAACACATCTTGACTGCATGTTCTGTCAATTTTAGACTGCAGAAGCTGGTAAAAATCTTCAGTTTCTTTATCTTTGGCTTTGGTGGTTGGTGTGTAAATTTGAATAATAGTGATATTAACTAGTCTTCCTCATAAGTGTATGGATATTATCCTATCACTGACAACATTGTACTTTAGGGTAGATCTTAATACGTTCTTTGTGATGATGAATGTCATCTTCTTCGATTTGTCATTCCTGGCATAGTGATCCTATGATCATTTGATTCAAAATTGCCCAGACCAGTCCATTTCAGCTCACTAATGCCTAGGATATTGATCTTTATGCATTCTATTTCATTTTTGACAACTTCCAAGTTTCCTAGATTCATACTTCATACATTCCATGTTCTGATTACTAATGGATGTTTGTAGTTGTTTCTTCTCTTCTTGAGATGTGCCACATCAGCAAATGGGGGTCCCAAAAGCTTTAATCTATCCACATCATTAAAGCGGGCTCTACTCTGAAGAGGCAGTTCTTCTCCAATTGTATTTGAGTACCTTCTAACCTGAGGGGCTCTTCTTCTGGCACTATATTGTACAATGTTTCAGGGCTATTCATGAAGTTTTCCAGTAATATATCAGACGGTGTTTCACTGCTGTTCATAAGGTTTTCACTGGCCAATTCTTTGAGAAGTGGATGGCCTCTTCCTTATTCTGAGTCTGTCTTAGTCCGGAAGCTCCACTGAAACCTGTCCACCATGGAAAACCCTGCTGACATTGAAAACACCAGTGGCATAGCCTCCAGCCTCGCAGCGACACTCAGGCCACCACAATACGACAAACTGACAGACAAGTTTGTCTCCCCTAGCTGTTCTAAACTACTCTGTTCATTTCCTGGTCTCCCACACCCTGCTCGGTTACCCAGCCTGCCCCCAGGGCACAAACACCCACCTTCCGCTACTCCCAGGTTGGCTTACCGATAAAAGAGATAGGATGGACATATAGTGCAATATTTTCCAATGGAATTGAATATTTACTGAGCCATCATTAACTGTTATTATTTATTGATGCTTATTTTAACACTGCTTTGTGCCATAGAGTCAATTCCAACTTCTAGTGACCCTGGAGGACAGAGTAGAATTGTCCCATAGGGTTTCCAAGGCTGTAAATCTTTATAGACGCAGACTGCCACATTTTTCTCCTGAAGAGTGTCTGATAGGCTTGAACTGCCATGAGCACTTAACCACTGTGCCACCAGGGCTCCTTCATTTTAACATACTCATTTTTAATTCTATAAGAAAAAATGTTATCTCCCTCTATTTCAACCTATGGCATTTTAAACACTGTCACTTGTCATAGTAGAAATATAAGTGCTTGACTTTTTGTGGCCCTCACACTACATTTCCATTCTTGCTTTCCCATTCTTATTTTGCATCACTTTTTCTCATCCAAGTAAAGTGAATGAAGTCATTGAAGATAATGGCCTGGTGTGTGTATCGGCATTGGGAGAAGTAGAGAAATCATGATAAAATGTTGCCTTCAAATATGTGACATCTAAGAAAGGGATTAAATTTAGTCTCTTGAGCTCCAGGGTATCAGTGAGAAGAAGGAACAGGAAAGAACTTTCTACCAAGTAGAACATGTAAGAATGGAACAGGCTGCCTTGTGAACCCAGAAAACTTGTGTTATGATGGTTTAACCCAACTTATTGCCTTAATTTTTTTTTCAAGTAAAAAGGGTAATACTTTTTCAATATGGATTATTTGGAATACACTTGTTAGGTGTGGTTGAGTAAGCTTCAAGTCAGCGACCCTATGTACAACAGAACGAAACTCTGCCCAGTCCGCCATCCTCACAATCCTTACTTTGCTTGAGCCTGTTGTTGCAACCACGACGTCAATCCACCTCATTGAGGGTCTTTCCCTTTTTCACTGACCCTCTACTTTACCAACCATAACATCCCTCTCCAGGTACTGGTCCCTTCTGACAGTATGGCTGAAGTACATGAGATGAAGTTTGGCTGTTCTCGCTGCTAAGGAAAAAATAACAAAATACTAAAATCACCTGGAATTTTCTTATCCAGAGATAACTTTCATTAACACAGTAGACCCATTCACGTTTTTTCCAATGTGTTTGTGTATTTTTTTCTATAATTGCAACCATATTTATTAAATGATAGCCATTTATTCTCCTTGACAATATATTTAAAACTCCTCTTATTAAAAATTAAGATTATATAACACTTCATGTTTTGAATTTCTATTGGAGATCTCTTCTATGATTGTAAATATATCTTCTCAATCTCATGATTTGGCCATATTTCTCTGGATTTTCTTCTAGTTTTAAAATTGTTTCATTGTTTACATTTATCTCTTTAATCCATACACAATAAATACTTAAAAATAAAATGTGAGGCAAGGCTCTGACCTACTATTTTCTAAGCACAGTTAATTGTCTAAATTCATTGCTTTTAAATCATAAGTTTCTTACCTTTCTCTGCTTTTAGTACTGGTAGCCTCTCTGCTTATAGTACTGGTAGCATAAAATTGTTCCCAGATATGTAAAAGGATGTCTGAGTTAAAGGAATACTGGTTTACTCTGTCTGATCAGGAGGGAACAATGTGTGCAACAGTCACAATGAGAGATTCCAGCACAGTGACCTAGGCTGGGAAGGGAGGCTGGAGCATAAAGGACATTAGCTATTTGGTCTCAACTTTTACCACAATTGCTATAAATAAATAACACATAAAAATATATCCTAAGGAAGTGAGAGCCAGGATAAGAACAGATATATGCACACCCATGTTCATTGCAGTACTGTTTACAATTGCCAAAAAAAAAAAAAGAAAAGAAAAGAAACAACCTAAAGTGCCCATCAACAGAAGAATGGATAAGCAAACAATGGTACATACAGACAATGGAATACTATGCAACCCTAAAGAATGACATAGAATCTGCAAAAGACCACATAGTGTGGATGAACTTGGAGGACAGCATGCTGAGTGAAATAAATCAATCACAGAAGAACAAATATTGTGTTAGTCTTAGGAAAGGTTTCTATATGGAAGGAAATTTTCTTTGTTGATTACCAGGGGTGGGAGGGGAAGGGAGGGGAAGGAACACTGTGAGATAGGTAGAGACAAGTATTGATTTGGGTGAGGAGAAGGGCAATGTACCAAATGTGAGTGATCAACATGGTGGCATTGAGGAAGAAGAAGACAGAGAGAGATGCATGGGAGGTACAGACAACAAAGATGAACCCTTTTGCACATATAGTACTGCATTGTCAGTGAAAGCGAACATTGATCTACAAGTGGACAGGTGGTGGACAGGCTGAACTATTAGGTACATCTGTACAGGGGGGACTGTGCCCATGACCATGTATAGGGTTGGCAGACAATGTTTCTACAAGTGTATTGGTATGTTCTATAAGAATTCCCAGGTATATAGTAGAGCTGACAAGGGACAAGGTTGTAGTCACTTCTTGGCCACAGTCAGCTACCCAGAGGTAGCGAATAGTTGGACCTGTGGGCTCAGGACCATAGTCGCAGAAGACATCAAGCTCAATTGGTATAGCATACTACACAAAAACATTTTCTACATCCTACTTTGGCGAGTAGCAACTGGGATCTTAAAAGCTTACAAGCAGCTATCTAGATGCAACAAGGGGTCTCTCCTTATGCAAAGCAAAGAAGAATAAAGAAAACCAAAGACCCATGGAAATAAATAGTACAAGCGACTGGAACACTATACAATCCTCAGCCTACACGAATGTGAGACCAGAAGAACTAGATGACTACCACTGCCAACCACTCAGAAGGGGGTCTATGTAGGAGATCCTGGACAGAGTGGGAGAATAATGTGGAATCAAACTCAAAATCATTTAAAGGGGGGGGGGCAGGTTTGCTGGTCTGATAGAGCCTGATAGAATCACTGAGACTGTGGCCCCTAGCTGCCCTTCAGGTCTAGAATTGAACCCACTCCTATAGCTTCCAGTGAAACAAAAGGACAGGCATAGGAACTGAACATTCTACATTCCTTGGAGAGATCAATCATGGGAAAATAGAAAGGCTGTGTATGCACAGGGAGACAGCTCAGGGGGCAGGAATGAATGAGAGGGAAGGACACAGGGAAGAGGTGGCTATGAGGAGGAAGTGGGAGGGAGCTATTGCATTGTGGGAAATTGCAGTCAATGTCATGAGACAAAGTGTATGTGAGCTGCTGTATGGAAAGTGAATTTGTTCTGTAAACTTTCACCCAAACCATAATAAAAAAATTTTTTTAAAAAGAATATGGAAAAAAATAAATAATACATAAAAATATTCACCAACATACATTTTTAAAGGAAATAGGACTTAAGAAACATATATTTAAAAAAATTAGTAGAAGTCACCTCTAGTGGTGAGGTTTGTGGTTTGTAGATTACTTCTATATTCTTCTTGATTCTCTTCTTTAATCTCTAAAGTTTTCACATCATTATTAAAAAATAATTAAACACACACAAATTATAATTCAGAGACATCAAATAAGGGAAAAAGAAATCACAGAAGAAACCAAAACCTGGAAGTAGAGCTGGTGTCCATAGACTGATGGCTTGTGTGTCAGCTGACCTGGGTCCTTTATTTTAGAAGCCACTGATAGAGCCACCATCTTCTTCCTCTGCTCAATAACTTCCAATTGCTGGGTCTCCCAAAGCACAGGGCTGGAGTCTTTTCTAGGAGTGAAATTGCTGGGCTCTCATTTTCATCATGGTTTTCTAAGAATGAAATTTTATAATTCTCCTATCTCCCTTCCAGTGATTCCTCTAGGGGGAGGGGGCTTCTAGGCCAACAAGTGGGCACTTGTGTGATGTGACTGTGTTGGCCTCCTTCTCCAGCCATTAACCCTCCTCTCCATGACTTCTCTATTTCTCCAGACGGTTCTTCAAGGATATGCCCCACAATGCACTTGACAAAAAGTCCAACTTTGAGCTCCTGGAGTAAGTACAGGAATGGCCCTTCCCTCTCCTTCCTCACCTCTTTCTCTGTCTTTACAGTTCACCCTCTTCTACTCATCCCCAAACCAGAGCCTGGTAGGCCCTGTCTACCCTGTCTCCAAGCCCCCTTGCCATTCCCTGACTGGCCAGAAGACCTGGATGGGGAGGGAAGGGTAGTACAATGCTTCTTTTTTGCTTCCTCTTTTAGGAAGGAAGTGGGGCTGGACCTGTTTTTCCCAAAGCAGATGCAGGAGAATTTAAAGGTGAGAAATTAAAAGTGAGAACAAGTAGAGGAGAAGGCCAGAAAGACCCTCATCATGCTGCTTCCCAGGTCTATGGGTACTCTGGGAAGCCAGGAGATTCATGCTGCCTCAGGATGTCTGGAGATAGGACAACAGAAACCATTCAGTGGGACCTTTCTGGGAACCAGGACACCTAGGCTCTAGTTCCAGATCAGAGGCTTATTAGCTTTATGGCCTGAGCACTGGGGATAATACTTATGCCACCCTCATGAAGTCCCTGGGTTGTGCCAACAGTTAACATGCTTGGCTGTTAACCAAAAGGTCAACAAAACTTGTCTGTAGGCCTAGCAATCTACTTCTGAAAAAATCAGCCATTGAAAACCCTGTGGAGCAGAGTTCAACTCTGACACACATAGGCTTGCTCTCCCTCACAGGCTTATGATGAACCATCCTTGAGACATGGGAGTATGATTTAGGTGATAAGATGGAGGCTGCTTTCACAGCATAGGGACTGGGTTTTGCCCTGCAGCAGTGGACAGTCTTGAGACTGAAACTCAAGGGAGATCTTAAGGGATGGAATCGCCTCACTCACCACACCCCCCCGCCCCCAAACAGCCTAAACAGTTCCGGAAGATGATCCAGCAGACGTTCCAGCAGTATGCCTCACTGAGGGAGGAGGAGTGCGTCATGAAGTTCTTCAACACACTCGCAGGCTTTGCTAACATCGACCAGGAGACCTACCGCTGTGAACTCATTGTATGATGTGCCTTTTTTATCCTCTTTCTGACCTGAATTCCAGGCCTCTCAGGAAGAGGGTCCAGAAGGCCAATTTGGGGAGGGAGGAGGTGCTGCACTTGTTTGTAGGCTTTCACACAGCAGAGCCTCACTGGCCTGTCCTAAAATGGAACTATACCTACTCCTCACTTATCAACATGGTTAGGTTCCAAAGACAAAGTCATTATGCAAAACCTACATTACTCAAGAGTCAGGGGCTATATCCCATCTTCAGTGCCAGTGCCCCAACTGCCTAGTTACTTAATCACCTTTCGAGTGTCCCTGGTGCATCTGGGGATACATGGCAGTCCCCCCACTTCCCACTATGCCTTCCTCACCATCATGAACCCTACAGGGGTTGTGGGGGCAGTGATGGTGGTTGGATGTTGCCCACTGCCCTCCGCTCATCATCCTCTCCCCACCACCTCCTGTCATCCACTCTGGGCAGAGACCCCACTCATCTTCCATCTGCCCTGATCCTACAGCCCCACATGGTCCCTTTCCCACCTCCCCCTACAAACCTCCCTAGAAACTTCAGGCCCTTGCCCAGCTTCTCCCTGCCTGCCCCAAACCTTAGGTGGTCTGCTATCACCCCATGCCCTCTGTGGCTAGACTGAGAGGTCACGTGTTAATAATAGGCATCCCGCAGCTGGCTGACCACCATCATCATCTGGTATATCACTTGAGGTGTCCCACAGATGGTGCCCTGGGCCCTGCATGGGGCCTAGGCCATCAGAAGCACTGCCTGGGCATTTTTTCAAAGTTGTCATAAATACAAAATGTCAGATAATAAGATAGTTGATAAGTGAGGAGTAGATATACTGCTAATTTTCTTGCCTGAGACAGTTAATGTGCTTGGCTGCTAACCAAAAGATTGGAGGTTTGAGTCCACTCAGAGGCAGCTCTGAAGAAAAGTTGGGTGATCTACTTGCAAAACACCAGCCACTGAGACCCCATGGGGCACAGTTCTACTCAGACACAGATGAGGTCTCCATGAGTCAGAGGTGATAGCAACGGTAACCTGCCTGAAGGCAGGCACTGAAATATTGGCCACCCAACTCTGAGGTCTGAGAGTGTATTGGGAGGGAGGTAATCTGTATGGTGGAGGTTCAGTGTGGAAGAAGCTAAAGGGCCCAAGAGATAGTAGCCTGTGTCTAGCTCTATGAGCTTTCATTATTATTATTATTTTAATTTCTGAAATATGGGGTAGGTAGTACTAGGGCAACAGTCTCCTCTCTTTTTATTCCAGCAAGGATGGAACATTACTGTGGACCTGGTCATTGGACCTAAAGGCATCCGCCAGCTGACAAGTCAAGATGCAAAGGTAGAAAGAGACTGGGGGCCAGGCACTATCCAACCAGAGGAGCCCTTTAGGGCTTGGCTGGGAGGTCTTCCCCTTTCTGCTGCCTGCCCCATTGGTTCTATGTGCCCCTATTGCTGAGAGCAGAGAGGCCTCATAAGGTCAAGCCCTTGGTATAAGGTAGCTGTAGAAAGACCATTTGAGGTAACAGCATGGGACAGATTGTCCTTTCCTTTTCTATGACTCTCCTCTGTTTTTTACTTCCCTGTGACAAGCTCCTATCCTAACTTTGCTCTCTGGCTTAGTTAGAAGACTTGCCTTTTCAAAGGGAAAGATCACTGGGCTGGGAGTCAGGGAACCTAGGTCCAGTCTAGGCTTTACCACCAACTTAATGTGTAGACTTGGGCAAGTCCTGGATCTCTCCAGACCTCACTTTCTCCTCTGCAAAATGAAAGGCTTGAATAAGAAGATTGTTTTCCAGCCTTAATGTTCTCTCTCTGTCTCCCTGAGAAATTCTCCCAGTTCCTTCCTGAGGTCCCCCTGCACTGGTGGATATGCATGGCTTAATCCCAGGGTGGAGTGGTCTGAAGGGTCCCCCTGCTTCAGGAGGTTCTAAGGGTCAATTTCTCACAGCCTACCTGCCTGGCCGAGTTCAAGCAGATCAGGTCCATCCGATGCCTCCCACTGGAGGAGGAACAGGCTCTCCTGCAGCTGGGCATCGAAGGTGCCCCCCAGGTGAGCATATCTGGGCACCTGGTAACAAATGGGTACAACTGTAGACTGGGAGTTCTTGTTTAGGTGATCTTGACCAGGGTGAGCAAGAGGTCAAAGAAAACAACACCCTGACAAGGTGCCAGGCTGATGATAAATTATGAGGAAAATAGGAAGCAGTGATACTTTGATACTTTTTAAAAAATGGCAAGAAGGAAGTTGGGGAAGTGTTTAGGGTAGATAAAGGTGACTAAGGAAAGGCAAACAGCTCAAGAATCAAGATCTCAGCCTACTTGCAGAACACCTACATCAGGGCGATGAACCCACCTACTCTAGGGAGCTGCACCCCTTAGAGCAATCAGCCATGAGACACCAGAGGGGTAGCGTTCACATAGAGGGAAAGCTGGACAGACAGGAGTGCATAGATAAGGACACAGGGAGGGAGTAGTCAAAGGGAGGGGAGGGAAGAAGAGTTGTTTATGGTTAGGGATGGTAATGGGGGCCATGAAATCAAATGTGCATGAACTGTTGAATGTAAAACAAATTTGCTTTGTGAATTTGCACCCAAAGCACAATTAAAAAAAAAAAAACTCTGGGAACCTGGGCTTTTCGTGGTAGAAGAATCAGATAGACCTCAGACTGCAAACAGATTGTCTCTCCTTTCATCCATCTGTGCCCTTCCTCACACCCTCCTTCTTCCCTGTTGTCAGTTTCTGTTTTCACAAATTGAGCACATACTAGCACAAGACATTGTGTTAAGTCCTGTAGATCAAAATAATTCAGTCTTGAAACTGGCCTTCACGGAGCTTAGGCATTCAGTAGGGATGACAAGCACTGCCCCCTGGTGGCTATAGGGAATGCAAGCAGAGCCTCAGGAAAAGGGCAATAGAGTGGGGCGGTGGGGAGGGGGCAGGGGTCCTGCTCCTTCTACATGTGCATTCTCTTCCCCAGCCCTGTGGGTAGACCCTTGCCAAGGCTATGCGTTCTCATCCTTGGATGGTCTCTTCTCTGCAGTCCTTGTCCATCAAAACCTCCTCTCTGGCAGAAGCTGAGAACATGGCTGACCTCATCGATGGTTACTGCCGGCTGCAGGGGGAGCACAAAGGCTCTCTCATCGTTCATCCCAAGAAAGGTGGGTTTCTACTCCAAGGAAAATTAACTGAATAGTGGATGGTCGCATAGCTGAGCCAAGCAGAGCAGTAGAGGCTAAGCCATTGACTGAAATGTAAGATAAGAAGCTCTGGAAGTGTGGGAATGTCCTTACACAGCTCTGCCTGGATATGACCTGTGGACCCATCTGGGTCCTTAGCAACAAGCTCTCAGCTGAGCCCTGCTGGTCAAAGGTGGCTTGGGTGCTGGCTTCTGGAGGAGAAGCGTTTGTAGCCCCAGAAAGATCAAAGCTAGTGCTAGAACACGAACATAGCTGGTTGCTCCTATGTGGTTTTAGGGTTGGAATCAGGAAGCAAGTATTCGGCTGGAGCATGTGGAAGGTGGGAAGAGGAAAACTGAGAAGTTTTTCTATGGGTAGGATCCAAATATTTGCACTCTGACTCTAAAAGAGAACAGAACGACTGGGAGGGAGAACTTTTTTGTGTTGGGTCCTAAGAGTAGAGGAGAGATCAGACATCCATCCAGGACTGAGTGTTCCCTGGCTCCAACTTCTCCCTTTTTCTCCTCTCTCCTCAGATGGTGAGAAGCGGAACAGCCTGCCCCAGATCCCCATGCTGTGAGTAGAATGGGGAGGCAGGAATAGAGCCCTAGGTTCAGTGTGTATGTGCCCGGGAGAAGGAAGTAGAAATAGGGAGCCTACACACTGATGGTATCTGGCTTCTGGGCCTCAAGGGAGAACATTGGAATCCCAGCATTTTCACAAGTGGCAACTTTTCACTCACAGTAAATACTTTCAGGGATATCCCTATGTCCTAATGAGCTCTGGTGGTATAGTCCCTAAGGCATTTGACTGCTAACCGGAAGGTTGGCAGTTCAAACCCACCAGCTACTCCATGGAAGGAGGACTGCACTATCTACTTCTGTAAAGATTTGCCACCTCGGAAACCCAAAGGAGGTTACTATGAGTTGGAATTGACTCAATGTCAGTGAGTTGGTTTTTTTTTTTGTGTGTGTGTGTGTGGTTAATGCCACCTGGTGTCGTCTTAGAGGGGGTTTGCTCATCCTCTGTCCCCTCGCCTCCTGGCAGCCTGGAGCCATGCTCCCAGGGTAGATGCCATGCTAGCCGTACAGGCAGGGAGAGTTGAGGAAGCAGTTGCCAGGCTCTGAGCCCACGTGGCTTCTGTCCTCTGATCTCGCCCTACAGAAACCTGGAAGATCGACGATCCCACTTCTCAGAAAGCTGCAGCATAGGTAAGACAAACCATATGTCATCCTCAGCTTGTGCCTGTAGTGTCTCCTGCTCTACTTGCTTCTGCTTGCTCTCATGACATCTCCAAAGATTCTCTCAAAGTTATAGAAAAGCAACCTTTTTCCATAACTGCTCAGTAAGGGCTTTAAAATGCCATTCAAATAATAACTAATTTGTATGAGCAGTTAAGGTTCCTGGGTGGTGCAAAGAGTTTCCACTTGGTTACTAATCTGAAGATTGGTGGTACAAACCCACCCAAATGTGGGGCAGAAGAAAGATCTGGTGATTTGCTTCTGTAAAGATTAAAGCAAGAAAACCCTATGGAACAGTTCTACTCTGTACCGCGTGGGGTCACCACCATGAGTCAGAATCGACTCAATGGCAATGAGTTTATTTCAGTTTTTTATTTTTCACTCAGCAGTAATTATGTGGCAGATCCTGTGCTAAACACTTTATAGGCATTTCACCCTCTGGAAACATTCATTTCACAGGAGGGAAACTAGGGTTAAGAGAAGTTAACCAACTTGCCCTAAATGACACAAATGGCAAGTCACAGAGCAGGGACTCAAACCTAGGTACCCTACCTGCAGATTTCTGTACTTAACTTCTAGGCCATGTTACCACTTCTAAACCTGGGATGGAAACAATGGGATGAGCCTGGCTTCTCCCTCTTCCCAGAGGTGTCAGTCTTGGCTCCACTGGCTCTAAGATGGGAGACACATGCTTGAGTCCTGCTGAGGGCTTCTTGTCATTGGGTGGGACCTCTTCCTGTCATTCCAGAGTCAGACATCTATGCAGAGATCCCTGATGAGACCCTGCGAAGGCCTGGAGGTAAGTCTTTGACCTCACCTTGTTGGCCTCCGTTCTGTGAAGCAACATTATAGTGATGCAGGTGACACCACAGAGGGAATTTTCCTCCCTTTCTTTGTCCTCCCCTACATGTGGCTCAGAAATGGGAAAATCTAGGAGCTCTGGTAGCATAGTGCCTAAGGCACTTGACTGCTAACCAGAAGGCTGGTGGTTCAAACCCACCAGCGACTCCTCGGAAGGAAGGTTGGGCAATCTTACTTCTGTAGTGATACTGCCTCGGAAACCCAAGCAGGGGTCACTATGAGTCGGGGCCGACTCTATGGCACATAACAACAATAACATAACAGGACATTTTTATTGAAAGGTGTAATAATTATCTTTTCCTTGTATTGATTGACATTTTGTGTGCCTGTGGTGCTGTGTGGGAATTCTAAAAGCATGGACATGTGGCCCAGCTTTCTGACGGGAGGTGGTGACTCTTCTCTGGGTCTGGGGAAATGAAACATTCTGGATCCCCTTTCTCAGCCCTGCCCCTGGATCCCGGTGGAAATGCTGTGGTGAGGATCTGGTGAACCCTGGGCAGGAGGACAGACAGAACCTGGTGCGAAGGCCTACAGACTCTCAGGTTCCCCAAGGGATGCCAGCTGGCTTCTGCACCATCCAGAATTTCCTGTTTTCCCCATTTTCACAGGTCCACCGTATGGTGTTGCCCGAGAAAATGTGATCCTGGGTCGTATTCTTGGTGAAGGATTTTTTGGGGAGGTGTACGAAGGTGTCTACCAGAACCATGTGAGTTGCAGACTCTTCCCTGACATTCCTCTTTGCTTGTGTGTAGGGTGAGACAGAGTTGCAGGCAGCAGCTATGAAAGAGTGAACCTGTCTACTTGGCACTTGAAGTATTCATGAAATATCCAGGGAAATGGTAGAAGCAAGAATAATTTCTAAGAAGAAGAGAAATACCAAGAAGAATAGTAAAATAGAAGTGAAGCCTAGAGAAATGTGTCTTTGTGAAAGAACACATGGGGAGGAGAAATAGAAATACTGTTCTGAGGAAAGACGGAGCAAGATCTGAAACAGGCATTAGTGTTGCACACACCAATGGGGCCAAACAAGGTTTGCCTTTGTAGTTGTGCTTCTAGCAGACCTGAGAGGGGGAGGGAGACAAGGAAAAGGGCAGAAAATTAAAAATAATAATAATAATAACAAGAGTAAAAAGAGAGAAAGAATCCTGGACAAGGCATCTGGTGGTCTGGACTTGAGCATACCTCAATACACACCTGCTAGCTTTGGGTAGATCACATAACCCCTCTGAGGCTCAAGGTCCTGCATACAACAAGCGGCTTGGCTTATTTAATCTCTAAAGTCCTTTCCAGTTTTAACATATCCTGATTTAGAAGGAAAGCAGGGGAGGGAAATAGAGAAAAGAAAATGAAAAGGGAAGAAGAGGAGAGAAAAAGAAGAAAGGCAGGCAAAAAACACTATGCTGTGGAAAGACAGAAGGTCCCAGAAGATCCCAGAGGTGACCTCCATCTTCCCTTAGCTGACAGCAAATCTTTGTGGGAAGAACACAGTGACAGTGGGGAGGGAGCAACATGTTCTTTTGCATGATAAACTGGACGCAGAGACCTTGAAAACACTCTTGTTGCAGAAAGGGGAGCAAATCAATGTTGCTGTAAAGACCTGCAAGAAAGACTGCAGTCTGGACAACAAGGAGAAGTTCATGAGGGAGGCAGGTAGGTTTTCCTGAGAAAGGACATAGCCCCATGGGCTGGACAAGCCCCCAGAGCCTCCACAGACCTCCAAGATATTCAAGTGACCTTGAATCTGGGAAGGGAAGGGGTGGTGAGTACTTTTGGGCCTTGTCTCAGTGGGGACTTTCACTCCCCTCTTCTCCTGGTTAGAACAAGGCACAATTTCTCCTATTGGATATTTGAGTCAATCCAGCCTATCCTTCTTCTCCCCAATTCTAGTAATCATGAAGAATCTTGACCACCCACACATTGTGAAGCTGATTGGCATCATTGAGGAGGAGCCCACCTGGATCATCATGGAATTGTATCCCTATGGAGAGGTGAGTTAGAGAAGGGGAAAGACCCTAAGGTGAAAACTGGGCCTCTGGTTGAACAGGTCCTCCAGGGTTTGAGGCATTTAGAGCTAGATGCCCTGATGCCTCACTTTCTTCCTTTTGTGTTCATCTGAAACATCCAGGAGACCATTTATAGGAGAAATTGCTGGAGTTACTGGTTTGGGGTTTGGCTTTGCCTGGAAGGGCCAGTGGATGCCTGTGGTCTGGCCTCTGGCTCTATGCAAGGCTGTGTCAGGGATTTTGATGGAACCTTCTTCCCTCCTTCCCACAGCTGGGCCACTACCTGGAGCGAAACAAGAACTCCTTGAAGGTGCTCACCCTTGTCCTGTACTCGCTGCAGATAGGCAAGGCCATGGCCTACCTGGAGAGTATCAGCTGTGTCCACAGGTAGGTGTGGGGCAGGGCAGGCAGCAGAGGCAGTTTGGAAGCCTAAGCTCGTTTATCTGATCCTTGAGAAGTTTGGGGTGGACCAGAGCTCTGGAGTCATTGAGACCTATATTGAATCTGGAGCCCTGTATTGAATCTGGAGACCTGTATTGAATCCTGGTTTTGACCCTGCCTATCTCAGCAACTTAGGGCCACTTTGAATAACCTCTGTGAACATGCTGCCTCATCTGAAAAGTTAAACTAATAATACATACCTGACAGGGTTGTTGTTAAGAGTAAATCCAAAGCTCTAGGTGTCTGATTATCACTCAATAAATTCTAGTTCCCTTCCCTTTGAATTCCAGGAACTAGTTTATCATCTGGCTCAGAGCTTGGTCCCTTCTTGGCACCTCCACTTTGCTGGTTACCACAGCAACACCCTGGGAGTCACATGGCCCAGGAAGAAGGGACTTGGCTAGAGCAGCAGGAGAAAGATCCTGCGGTTTAGGCACTTCCCCAGCCTGAGCAGATAACACTGTCCTAGTTCCCTGGTGTGTCCTGGGCTAATCCATCTTGTGGCTTTTAGCTTGTCCCTTCTCTACCTTGCTTTGCTCCCCATTCCCTGAAAGAATGTTCTTGCCATGGGGGAGGTGACCTCCTAGAGACAGGTTGGCCACTCTGAAAGCACTGGTATGAGTGGGTGGGTTCCTTTCAATCCAACAACATTGATATCAGTTCTGTGGCCGTGTGCATGACACTAAGTTAAGCACTGCTGGAGGATATAAAACTTCATTCATTCATTCAACAAATATTATTGAACTTTTACTCTGTGCCAGGCACTGTTCTAGTCTTTAGGTAAAGTTCTGATCAAAACAGACAAAAATCCTTTTCTTCCTGGAGCTTCGATCTTGTTTGAGAGTAAAATGAAAAATGTAAATATTTATGAGGTAAAGGTGATGGGGTAATAGATTTATTTCCTTTTTGTTCTTGTATTTAAAGTTGTCATGTTTCTAAGTCATCTTTTTGATAATAAAAATAAATTTTAGGGAACAGAGCCTGCCTACGAGAAGTGAGCAAACTAGTCCAGGGTTGAGGAACACAGGTGGCATACATTTAGTGGATGCTACCCCTGGGTGTGCTGAGAGCATAAGCTCTGAAGTAAGGCTGTCTGGACTGAATCCTTTTTCACCAAACCTGCTGAGCAAGCTTCTACAGCTCTCTTGGACCTTATCTCCTCATCTGTACCAGAGGGCTCTGAGGGTCCGTGTTATGAGTTTGAGTATGTAAAGCATTTATGTGATGCTGGCTATTGTGCCTAATAGGAGCCCCTTGATAGTGTTGACAGTTAACATGCTTGGCTGCTATTGCAAGGTTAGAGGTTCAGGTCTACCCAGAGCCACCTTGAAAGAGAGGCTTAGTGATTTCCATCTGAAAAACCAACCATTAAAAACCCTGTGGAGCATAGTTCTACTCTGACACACATAAGGTCACCATGAATAAGAATCAACTCACAGCAACTGTTTTTTTGTCCCACCCCCCACCCCACCCCTGCCCCATGCTGCCTAATCACACATGGAGTCACCATGAGTTGGAATCAACTCAGAGACAACTTTTTTAAATAATCAGAGTAACTATGCTGCTGCTTTTGCTTCTGCTGTTCATAACGATAATAAAAACCTAACAACAATGGAAAGGCAGAATGGGGAAAGAACGGCTGTGGCCGGAAAAATTGTAACATTGTAGAGGTTCATCTCTAAAGAATCTTCACAGTGACAGCATCCTTGGTAAAGGGAGCAATACAAGCAACATCACAGAGGAGAATGTACAAGTCATTTTCTGGGAGCAGCAAACAGGCTTTGAGTTAGAGACTGTGAGAAGGGATCATGGAAGACAAAGTTCAAATGATAAAATGGGAAGAGATGGCCAAAGGCCTGGAATGCCATGTCCGGAAATATGGAGGAGGCAGCCTAGGCTCAGTGTTGTTAAACTGAAAGGAATCCACCCACTTTCCCCAATGCTCTGAGACCACACAACCTCTGTCTCTCCCATCTTCTCCATGGCAGAAACCTCTTTTCAGGGAATGGGGAACAAAGCAAGGTGCAGAAAGGACCAGCTCCAAGCCACAGGATGAACCTAAGCTGAGCTTTAGCAGACAGTCCTGGTGGGAGGTGGGGAGGGAAGGGCTGACCAACATAAGCTTCCCGATTCTACTTTGAAGTCCTAGTCTCAGGCCAATCTTCTTCTCCTTTGTCTTTTGATCCATCTATTTGTATCTCTCTGTGAAGCAATCCTACTCTCATGGGTGGTAGCACCTCACTCTTATCTTCTCATCCTGCTTTCAGGGACATTGCTGTCCGAAACATCTTGGTGGCCTCCCCTGAGTGTGTAAAGCTGGGAGACTTTGGCCTTTCCCGGTACATTGAGGATGAGGAGTATTATAAAGGTGAGGAAAGCCTCTGATTGGACAAACCAAGGTCTCCAGAGGATAGAGTACTTCTGAATACCTTCTGAGTCTTTGATTCTCTAAATAACTCCTGTTGATCTCTTTCCCACCCAAAGCCTCCGTGACTCGTCTCCCCATCAAGTGGATGTCCCCTGAGTCCATTAACTTCCGCCGCTTCACAACGGCCAGTGATGTCTGGATGTTTGGTGAGTGGAGTTTCTGGAAGGCCTGGAAAAGGGGTCAGATTCTCAACCTCTATGGCAGGCTAAGTGGGTGCCTGGGGCTAGGGGCAAAGGTTTAATGCCTTCTCTTCCCCTGGGTTGTAAGAATTCTATTTTGCTGTGGGCACTGAGGAGTCCCAGAAGTGGGGAGACTATTGTGGGTTGAGGGTGACATGGGCTGAGGTCTGACCTTGGGCAGTACTGGTTAATCTTCCTGGGAATGGATGGCTCTTGTGACATGTGTGTACTCCTCAGACTAGCACCAAGGACTAATCTGGGACACTACAGAGGACACTCAAAGACAAAACTTTTGAGGTTTGCTTTGAGGAGGAAGAGGTTCAGGAAGTGGTGACAACAAAACAAGTAATCCATGTACAGTGATTGCAATTAGTCCTGTCAACAGCAGACCTGAAAAAATATCATAATTATGCCTTTATGCCACTTCCAGATCCCACAGAACCCATATAGCTCCTTGTATATGGGGTTGTCTTACTCTCCTAGTGCTGCTGTAACAGAATACAATGAATGGGAGGCTTTAAAGAAAAGAAATTTCTTTCCTTACAATCTAGAGACTAGAAGTCCAAAGTCAGTGTGTGGCTCTAGGGGGAGGTCCTTAGGGGTGGTCAATTTCAGCTTCTAGTGGCCAGTAGTCCTTGAAGTTTCTGCGCTCATAGATTCATCTGCCTCCATAGTCAAATAGTGTCTACTCTCCCTTTCTCCCCCCACTCCCCACCCATGTCTGTGCTTCTGTGTCTAATCTGTTCTTTCTATAACTCAAAAGTGATTAGGTTCAGGACACAAAGTACATTGATATGGCCTCATGAACATGACAAAGAGACCCTATTGCCAAAAGGGATTACATTCACAGGTGTAGAGGTTAGGATTCCAACACATATTTTGGAAGTATACAATCAATTCCTAACAAGAGTCTAGAGAGAGAGAGGCCTTATTTCACTCATAGATGTAGGTATGGGTCGCCAGGTAGATCACCTCAGGTGGGCAAGACCACAGAGGTGCTAGAGTAGGAAGCAAGAAAGCAGCTGGCTGGCTTTGGGATGGAGCACTAATTATTGCATTGGAATCTGGGGAAGATGGCCTTGTCTCTGTGGGTGCCAGTCCTCCCCAACACAGGTTCTGAGCCATCTCCTCCTTCCCCTCAGCTGTGTGCATGTGGGAGATCCTGAGCTTTGGGAAGCAGCCTTTCTTCTGGCTGGAGAACAAGGATGTCATCGGGGTGCTGGAGAAAGGGGACCGGCTACCTAAACCTGACCTCTGTCCACCTATCCTCTACACACTCATGACCCGCTGCTGGGACTATGACCCCAGTGACCGGCCCCGCTTTACTGAGCTTGTGTGCAGCCTCAGGTGAGTGTGGAGGGAGGGGCTGCAAGAAGAGGGCCAATGAAGTAGAATGCCTCCTCAACTCCCAGAGAGCAAGGGTCATCAGACAGCTCTTAGAAGTTTACCAAGGACTTCCCTAAACAAGAGGTAATCAGGGTCCCATCACAGCTCTATCTAGCAGGTGTTCTTGTCCCTCTGCCTTATGGATGATAGAATAAAGGTTGAGAGTTTGTGGCTTGCCCAAGGTAGGAAGGGATGGGGCTTTAACTTGAACCCAGACCTTCCTTCTGACCAACAATGACTTATGCACCCAAATGGAATCAGCCAGTCCTTGCAACAGAATCACAGTGCCAAATATATATCACAGAGATACTAGTAGCTCTGTCAGCAACAAAAGGTTGAAACCAGCTTCACTATCAGATATGAACTTGGAGAAAAGGTCAACCTAAGTAAGCCTCGCTCATCATAGTAGCTCTCAACACTGAACACAGTATCTTACTGATACCGTGCTCTCAGGAAATATTTTTTAGGTTTGACTCAAAAGACTGAACCAGACTTTAATTGAAGTGACTGAGCTCTTTGTAAAGGTTGAAAGCACACCTTCCAGATGCTGGGACTGGGGTGTGCAACCTGCTTTCTCAGAAATACTCTCTTCCTTCTCTTCTCACTTTTGATCTTTCTCTTGTTGTAAATATACACAGCAGAACATACACCAAGTCAATAATTTCTACATGTATAATTCAATGAAACTGATTGTACATTCTTCAAGTTGTGTGACCATTCTTACCTTCCTTTTCTGAATTATTCCTCCCCCATTAACATAAATTCACTGCTCCCTAAGGTTCCTATCTAACCTTGCAAATTACTGTGGTCCATTTGATCCCATATAGATAGTTCTTTAAAAGAGCACAGTGCTCAAGGCAGACATTCTTTATTAAGTAAGCTAAACTGTTCTTTGGTTTTAAGAAGATTTCAGAAGATATTTTTAGTTTAAGGTTTAACGATTATCTCAGGGCTATAGTTTATGGAAGGAGCTCTGGTAGCATAGTGCCTAAGGCACTTGACTGCTAACCAGGAGGCTGGCGGTTCAAACCCACCAGCCACTCATCAGAAGGAAGGTTGGGCAATCCTACTTCCGTAGTGATACTGCCTCGGAAACCCAAGGAGGGGTCGCTATGAGTCAGGGCCAACTCGACGGCACATAACAACAACAACAATAGTTTATGGGGTTCATCCAGCCTCCATGTCTCTAGAAAGTCTGTATTCCAGGAGAATCTGTTCCTTGCTTTCCCCAATTTTGATCAAGATTCTTCTGTAGAATCTTTGATGAAAGCATTCAATAATGCTAGCCATCATTAATGGCACCATCTAGTTCTTTTCATCTTGTGGCAAAGGAAGTAGTTGTTCATGGAGCCAATTAGCCACACATTCCATTTCCTTCTTCTATTCCTGATTCTCTAGCGAGAAATTTTAAAAATGGTATCAAGAGAGTGACCCAGGTGTTACCTCTTCTTTCTGAACAGAGGGTGGGAGCTGAGAGTGTGATCCTTCTCAGGTGCCCAAGAGTATCCCTTGAGTACCATGAAACCAGTGGTGAGGGTGTTGTCAAAGATCATCACAGTGTTCAGGGTCCTCTAGTGTTTGTTGCACATACTTGCTGTCAGCTTCCCCTGGGGTCTGGCTTCTTTTGGCCTACTTTAGGGTGGCACTTAACAAGCCAAACTTCTCCTTAAAGAAGCAGATTATAGCTATTTTGGGATTTTCAAGCCATACAATATCTGTTTTAATTAATAAACTCTGCCACTGTCGCATGTAAGTAGCCATAGACAATATGTAAATGAATAGGCACTGAAACTTAAATTTAATAAAATTTTCATGTCATTAAATGTTTTTTTTTTCTTTTCCCGAACCATTTAAAATTATAAAACACAAAACAAAACAAAACATTTTTAGGTTGGAGGCCACACAAAAATAAGTGGAGGTCGCATTTGGGCCTTGAGCCTCTTTTGCTGACCCCACTTTAGGGAATCTAGTAGGTAATTAAATTTAAACACTGTCATTTCTAGAGTTGTCAACTCTTTTTTTTACTGAGGTTAAAAGAAAAAAAAAAAAAGCCTTCAGGAAATGCGTTTGGGGGAGGCACAGGGACCCAAGGGAAAGGTGCTGGGAGTTCCTGGGCTGGGGACAGCGGGGATGACACTTGACACTGCATTTGTTTGGAGGAGCAGGGCCTCCGACACAATCTACAAAACCTCCAGATTAAAAGGCCTTTCTATGTCTGTTTATCCTTCACTGACATTCCCAATCAATTCTAGACTCATTTGTTTGCTCCTCATAAGGGACAGTCAAGAACCCAAAGGTTCCAGAATAAAAGTATCTGAAAGGTACAATTTGTGAGTGTGAAATCACTGGGTAATGAGGGTGGGGTCTTACTTAATTCTTAGGCCTTGGAAATCCCAAGAAGGGTGGCAGGGTGTCCATCTCTGGGCTATGAGGTGTGCCTGATTAAAGCCACCTTGTCCCCACCCCCCACCATGGGTAGAGTTAGGCAGAGGCTTTTCTGGTGTGATCTGAAGGATGCTTAAAGCTCCAGATGGCCCCAGGAGACCCCACTTAGTGATGCTACAGCCTGACATTCCTCCTTTAGAGTTAAGACGGGATGAGATCAGTGTTTCCGAATTTTTGGAGGGTAGGGAAGACTCTTTCAAAGTCAAATTTTGAGATTCCTTCCATGTAACAATCATTATGCTTTTATAATCCATGAATTGACAAAATGCAGTCTAAAGTGAATTTATTTTTTAATTAGACATAATTTAATGCATATGCATTTGAAACATTAATACCAAACACTGTACATCAGTTGTACACAATACTTGGTTTACACACAATACATGGTACATATATGAATATATGCATTCACGAACCCCTGCAATTAAGTCCAGAGTCCCTGGGGTGTAGATTCCCATTGAGAACCACTGGGTTGGGTAATTACAGATGAAGCCTCCAGTCAGCATGCACTGAGGAGAAAATTCACAGCCCTTCCCCATTAATAAACATCAGGGAGGTGTTGACGGGAAGGACTTTGGACACCTTAAGCTCTTAAGGTAGCATTATATGTGACAGTTAATGAAAACTAAGAGATGTACAACATAGACCCGGGACATGCAGTTGCCTGGGGACATCAGAAATCTTTGTAGGGGAATGGTGGCAACAGCAGTTACAGGAGGACAGGAGAAATGGGCAGGTGGGACTGGAGATAGGATTCCCCTGCCCCTGTGAGCTGGGACTAGCTCTCAAGGATGTTTTCCCACCTTGGATCCATTCCTGTGAGCTTACCAGAATCAGTATGGGGACACAATGCTTGTCCTACACACAGCACTTGGTACACACAAATATACACAATCCAGCTTGTCTCAGAAAGATCTGCCCAGGCTACTCTGCAGGAGATGAAAATGGAATTCAGTGACTGTCATCCAGGCCTCTCTGGGCTTCATTGGGGTGCAGAGATGTTCCTCTGAGGGACAGCTGACTTTGACTTTGTTTCTCTCTCCTTATCTGATTTGACTTCCTGACAGTGACATTTACCAGATGGAGAAGGACATTGCTATGGAGCAAGAGAGAAACACTCGCTACCGAGCCCCCAAAATCTTGGAGCCCCCAGCCTTCCAGGAACCCCCGCCAAAGGTAAGCCAAGCTCTAGCCTTATCATTCCATGAGTCATAGCAAAGCCGGGCCCCTCTCTGGCCCATTCCCAGCCTGATTATGTAATTTGCCTCTTGCTGCATGGGCAAGACAGCCACTCCTCAGAAGGAAGGCTGGGCAATCTACTTCTTAGTGATACCACCTCGGAAACCCAAGGAGGGGTCACTATGAGTCGAATCCGACTCGATGGCAGTGTGTGTGTGTGTGTGTGTGCGTGTATGGGCAAGATGCTTCCCTGCCCATCAGCACTGAACTCAACCCTTGTCATATCATTGCCCTGGAAGTCTGGATGGAATCTGAGACAGCAGACCTTGTGTGAAAGCTGAGTCAGGAAATCATCCTGGAAAAGTTTCCCTTAAGAGGCTAGAGCAGTTTTCTTTTTAGATTTTTTTTTCAGGCACATTAGATTCCCCTGAGGACACATGATCAGAGAGTATCCTTGGGCTGCTTAGGTACAGTCTGTGTTTCATGCCTTCTATGACATTCTTGGGCTCAGGTGCCAGTGCCTGGCTGCAACACCATTATATGGTTAGGTTTTGAGGGCCATGCCCAATATGCCTTTTCTCACCATCCCCCTAGGTAGGACATGCCCTGGCCCTTCCCTCAGGGCCCAGCTCAATTTTTATCTCCTCCATGAAGCTTTTGTGATTGCCTGACCCCTCAGTGACCTCCTACCTCTGAATTCCTGTAGCTCTTCATTGCTTATTTGGTAGGTGCTCGATGTATAGCTAGGTTACACAGGGGGAGAGAGAGGTCCTTAACCTCAGGAGGACAAAGAGGTTAGCCTCTTTGTATCTTCCTGTCATTCTGCACATAATTGGTGCTTCATAAGTGGATGCAACGTGATTTAAATAACAACTTTGTCTGTCATCTCGTCTTCATTCTGAACAACCCTGACCTGGATCCAACCTGATATGCCCTACATGAGTTATTCTCACTCAGAAAGGAGAAGCATCACATGGAGGGATGACTGACATACCTGTTTTCTCTCTGCAGCCTAGCCGGCCCAAGTACAGGCCCCCTCCACAAACCAACCTTCTGGCTCCCAAACTGCAATTCCAGGTACATATATAACCAAAGGGATGGGAAAGTTCTCGTCCATTCTTCATCTAGGTCATCACAAAATGCCATTCTTGTGCCTTTGAAGAGCGACAATCTCCCACTGGGGAATTTGAACTCAGAGTACCCAAGAGCAAGAGTAAAAATGGATTTCTACCAGGCTGTCCTTGTCTATGAAGACTTGCCTTAAGCCCAGCCCATCAGCTTCTCAGAGAATGTCCACAGTGTCTGCTGCTTCTTGTGCCTGCCTACAGCTTAAGTCTCCATGTACAAGGCTTCCCTGGGTCCCTGCCCTGAGCAGAGTCCTGTGAGAAGGACTCCCAGGGACTTGGGGATAGTTAATGTTCTCCAGAGCATGGAATTGTTCCCTGGAGTTCCACACAGAGGCTCCTGCCCTGAATCTGCATGGCCAGTGAAGAGGGGTCCCATCTGAGCTTTCCTCCCACCTCCATCATACCAAGGCTGGATGTTCTTGTTGCAGAATATCTTTGTCCTGTGTCTCTCTTGCATCTAGATCATGGATAACCAAGCTCCTCTCTTTTCCTCTCTTATATTTGCCAGCTCAGAGTCACTGCTTGAAAATGGAGCATCCCAACCAACAGAAACAATGCCTGTTTGTTTGGTGCTCCTTGCAGAAAGCACCACTACATGGTCATATACCCCAGTATCCAAGCAAGCCCAGCCAAGATCTAGCAGATAAATCTTCACATAAAGAAAAAACCTTGATTCAGAAGATAAAAACAATAGCCTTAAAAAGAAATGTAAACTGTTATTTATAACAGTGATTTTAATTTATTTATTTGCTTATTTGTATAGATATATATACACAGGCCCATACATATTCATGCACGCACATGAATATATGTAACTGCATATAAATATGTGTGTATGTGTATACACACACACACACACATACACAGGCTATCAATTTGTAACATGACTATGAAATTTAACTCTATTCCAAAGACTCCTGAGGGAAGAGACATTTTCACTATTGACAGTAGATCAATAACACACAGAGTCCCTGGTGTATGCTGAGCATCATGGGGAGAAATGTTAGATGAATGAGAGGACACAGTGGCTGTGTTGACTGCAGCCCAGAGCTGTGTACATTTCTCCACCATGTCTCTCAGACAGGGCTGATGAAATACTCACACCATGCTCCTGGAAAGCAAGTCCTTCTCCAGAGTAGCGCTGTATCCCCCTAACCAAGTTGCTTGTGTGTCATCTCTGTGCATGTGTTTGTAGCAGCTAATTGTCCACTTTCTTGCCTTGTCCCTGTGCCTTGTGCTTCTCTGCTTCTCCTGAATAGGTACCCGAGGGTCTGTGTGCCAGCTCACCTACGCTTACCAGCCCTATGGAGTATCCATCTCCTGTAAACTCGCTGCACACCCCACCTCTCCACCGGCACAATGTCTTCAAGCGCCACAGCATGCGGGTAAGAGGGCTCTGCATGCTGGATCCCAGCCTGTGCTGAGGAGGTTGCTGGAGGGGTGGTGACGTGGGATACTGGGAACCCTTTGTCCTCAGGCTCAGGAGTTGCCCTCCACGCTGCCAGGTGCCAGGCAAGCCACCAAGTGAATCTGGAATGCCTTTTCATTTGAAAATATCTGGACCTGCCCTTGTCCATACTCTCATGATGTGGGAACTGATGTAACATGTGTCCCTTTCCTGACCCCTGGGGATTGACTAGTACACAATAGCATGGGGCTCGCAGGCAGGAGATAGCCAAGTGTGATGGTGCTGGAGAATTAAAGATTCTGAAGTCTCTGCCATGTTCTGCCCCCTTCTTGCTTCATTGCTTTGGTTGCTAAGTCTCTCCTCAGTTGAAGGAAGGGCTTTTTGTGGCTGCCACTTCTGCTGCTTTTGTAAAAATTGTTGCTATAGGGGAAGGAGCTTAGGGGCTAGTGTGGATGCAAGTTCATTAACTGGCTAGAGCAGAAGCTAAGCCAACCCAGGAGGAGAGAACCCTCCCTAGTCACCTCTTTGTCATCAAAGAAACTCTAAGTGTTTGGTGAAATAATTTCTGATTTTCAGGTCTTATAAAAAGAACTGCCTTTGCATATAGCCAGACACCTACTTGCCACCACCCATCTTCAATACAGATGGCCCCTTGTGGTGGTCGGTTGCCAGAACACTTTCAGTTTGATGTACAGGACTTAACTAAGTCTTGATGGCGGACAAAACAGACTAAAACCCATGTTATTTTAGCTCTAATTCTATATAAATGCATGACACTTTAGGGCAGGACTAGCAGCTTTTGTTCCATTGTGCGTGGTGTCTCCATGAAGCTGGGGCTGACTCCACAACAGCTAACAATACATGACCCTAAATTTTTTTTAATTAATATATGTTTATTATAATAGATTTGGAAAACTTGGGAAAGTATGTTGGTATACTTCTGCCCCAGTATTCTTAATTTAGTAAGATTTTTTAAATGAGTAAGGTAATAAGGAATCTAGCCATGAAGAATATTGTAAAGTAAAATTTCCCTAGCCTACCTCATTTCCTCTTTTGTATTACTTTAACCAATTTTATATCTTAGCATATACTTAGCAATAATGAAACTGAATTTTTAAGCATACACTATCATTTAGGTAATATTCAGTTCCTCCACCCTCCTACCCTTGACCCTTTATTCAAATTAATTAAGTTTTAGTGAGTTTTGCTTAAAAACATGTTTTTTTTTAGAAAGAAGTGAATGTGCACATTTGAGGGGTGGCCTTGCCTTTGTGTATGCTCCACTTCACTGGGAAGACTTTGTTCAGTCCCATAAAGACAGATTGTGCAGCAGGAAAAAGACCTTTTGTGTCAAGAGTTTAGAAGTTCTTGCCATAAAGGGAGTCAGTCTAAAAGAACATAACAAGTGTTTCTTTAAATAACCAAAACAAAAACATTAAAAATATAACCTCCATTTGTATGACACATATCAGAAAAAGGAAGAAAGCCTCTTCCAGATAGAATGCTGAAAAGGTATAATTGGCCCCCTGCAAAGCATTTGAAAGCATTTAACATAAAAATTCAGAGATGGTTTTCCCACAAAAACAATTTTTCTGCCAGCTGACCCTACAACCTGACTCATCTGAGAGTCTGTAGCATGCCATGATAGTCAGGAAGGCAGCAATCTGTCTCTTCAATATCTCATGATTGAGATAAAAAGAATAATGAAATTCAGCTAACTATATAGTACAGTGTGCACTAGTGCTTGCAAGGTGCTGTCCTAGATGCTGAAGGGAGAACAAAACATTCTGATGGTGTAGTACCTAAGGCATTTGACTCCTAACCAGAAGGTTGGTGGTTCAAACCCACCAGCCACTCCGCAGAAGGAAGGCTGGGCAATCTACTGCTGTAAAGATTTACTGCCTCGGAAACCCAGTAGTGGTCACTATGAGTCAGAATCGATTCGATTGTAGTGAGTTTGGTTTTGGTTTGGGCTTCAAGTTGCTTACAGTCTGCTAGCAGGAGCAGATCACTGGCAAGCACCTGTAACACAAGCCAAAAGCTATGAGTGTCATGTGGAGATACAGCAACATGCGGTGGAAGTTCAGAGACCAGACCAACTCCCTCCAGATTGTCCAAATCTTTCCCATCCTTCATCTGAGTCCTGAAGGATGGGAAAGATTTGGACAAGAAGAAATTGGGATGCAGGGGATGGAAGAGGCAGAGGTATCAGTATGAGCTAAGATTTAGTGGAGGAAAAACAGGGCAAGTGTGAGTGCTTTCAGTTGGAATAAGGAAAGGTACATGTGGAGGTAGAAATAAGGCTGGCAGGATGAATTGTAGCCAAATTACAGAAGGTGTCACGGCTTGTGAGAGTCCTTTCTAAACTCAACAGTACCTGGCTCCTTTTAAGAGTGGCCAGCAACGTAAGTATTACTGCCTAGTAAGAATACCCAATGTATATCTCAGCAAAGTAAATCTTATAGAGAATCATTTTTTAAATCTCATTTTTCTCATTGAGTTTTATTATGAACTTGGAAGACATAGAGACAAATGTTACAATATATGCTAAAATAGTTGGCGAGATGATGTGTTAGACTGGGTTCTCTAGAGAAACAAAAAACAGTAAAGCTTATATATATGTATATATAGAGAGAAATTTATCTTAGGAAAATGGCTCACACACTTATAGAAGCTGGCAAGTCCAAAGTTCCTGGAGCAAATGTCAAGCTGGAGGCTTTTCCTGGCTCTTGCAACTGCAGGGACTGAGGAGCTCAAGGCTGGCAGGCAGTACACCGGCTGTTGACTCCAAAGAATGACGAATCCAAGATCTCCAGGCCAAAT